AGTGGCTGGAGTTGGTTAGTTTGGCTTCTAGTGGGAAAGATTTGGAGTGGCTGGAGTTGGTCAGTTTGGCTTCTAGTGGGAAAGATTTGGAGTGGATGGAGTTGGTTAGTTGGGCTTCTAGTGGGAAAGATTTTGAGTGGATAGAGTTGGTTAGTTGGGCTTCTAGTGGGAAAGGGAGAGGGACGGTGAAGGGCAAACGGTCCGCCGAGGTGGTTAGAGCACCAGTGCAAAAAACTGCACATTGTGGTATGAGGTTGCGGGTTCTAATTGCCGGTCGTGAAGTTGGCGACTCGGACCCGCCCCTGTGCGCATGCATGCGGCCGGAGGGCGTCGACTGATGTGGCCATTTGCACGGGGGTTCTGTGGGTCAGGATCTGGGCGGGGGGGAGAGTGGGATCAGTTGGGGAGGAGTCGGGAAGGGAGGCCAGGGCGCACCACTCTCCTAAGAGGCACGGTCGGGGGCCCCTTGTGGCAGCAGGCGACGGTGGTGTGCATGGTTGGCTTCGTGGCAGGCTGCCCTGGTGGTTTGAGCTCGCGTCCGAGTCCGGGTGTGGTGGGACCCCGTTGCCGGCGGCTGGGTTGTCGCATCCTGGCCGAGACCTTCCCGTGAGTGATCGAGGTTGAGTCCTGCTCTCAAGAGACCTGTGTGAGTGAGCCCACCCCGACAGTCGAGGAAGACTTGGTACGTCCTGCCTCCTGTCTGGACTCCCACTGCGCTGTCCCCCTCTCCCACACAACCTCTTTTGGAGAAATGTTCCGTTCTACTGACTATGCATATCATCTATGGTGGTCTTTCCTGCGATGGTGTGTGATTTTGTGATGTAATTTGCTGGTCGATGATTGCGCAGGTGGAGCAGTTGATGTTTGTCATGATTAACCGAATCGATCACTTGGCTGAAGCTTTGGCCGAAGCGGACAGACATGAGCAGGATCGGGGTTATTGCCAGGATCACGCCGATGTCGCAGCGGAACCCATTTCATCTCAGAAAAATAACCAGGATGTGGAGCCTCAGGCCGATGGTCACGACAACAGTAGCATTCAGTCCGAAGAGGACAATCAAGAGTTAAGGATAAGTGAATGACAGCCGCTGGGATCATGACGATCGTAGGCACACCTGAGTCTCCTGACCGCGTTCAATGATCGTTGCCAGCCATCATTTGGAATTCGAATTCTTTCTCCGCAGAGCAAGCAAGATGTATCACACTTTTGTGAATGCGCCGGAGCCATGGTGCGATGCGCTCACGGTGCTCGACTTCTGCGCATGGCATTCCAAGGAAGTGCGTCTGCGAACGGGGGCCACACGGCCGCATACCCTTGACCCGCAAGCTGGTTCTGAAGAAGACCAATGTCTGCAGCTGAGATGAATGACATTGCATTGTTCGATGAGTTTGTGTCTCGCTCAGCCTTGGAGAATTCATCTCATGATGAGGTGAGGCCTGCTGAGGCGTTCGTGGAGGAATTCACGCAACGGTGTCGAGGCCGTCGCCATATTCCTCTGGCAAAGCCACGTCAGCTCGTGATAAAAAATGAGGATGAATTTTCCTCATCTTTACCGTGAACATTCAACATGTCGTTGATTGCCTATCCCATAACCATGCTGATGATAAGGATGAGGAGAGCGATGAATCCGCCGATGATCATGGTATATTAGGCAATCAATGACATGCTGAATGTTCATCGTAAAGACGAGGAGAATGATGATGATGATGATGATGATGATGGTGATGATGATGATGATGGTGGCAGTGGTGGTGCTGATGTTAATGGCTGCCCAATGACTGGTCAGACTAATGAAGCATACCACTTAGCAGTTGATGACTTGATTTTGTTTTGGGAGGACCTACTTGAAGACGCGGACGATTGGCGGGCAATGGCAGAGGATGTGTTTGCTACTCTATTTCTAGGGTACTACTAGATCTGAAACCACACGAATGCGCTGCGATGCGATGCAAGAGAGGGAATCCGATGAGATGCACACTAAAAGCTTTTGTTTGACGACTGCGCTATAAGGAATGCAAGTGGACGGTTGACCAACCTTTTTTGCAAGCTTTGTCTTTAGCAGAGTTTGCTCGCCTTTTCTGATCGTGTTTGTCCAGTTGGGATCGGACGGTGAGAACTTGCCTTTGTGGATTGCGATTGCATGCGCGGACTCAAACTAGCAGGCGTCTTGGCTGACATCCTCTACACCTAAAAGGCGGGACCACCACTGTCGTGGAAGCAGACGGCTGTCGTGGCGAAAGGATGAGATTGACACCAGCAATGCCGAGACGGAAGTACAGGTTCTGGCAGAAGCCCTGGTTCGTGAACGATATGCGCCTCAAATTGCTGCTTTGTGAGCACGCTTCGCACCCAAGATCCGCCTTTCTTCAAGGTCGCATGCCTCGACTTGCAGACATGCATGCGTAAAGTATGGCCTTCTGCTTCACAAACGATATGTGTCTCAAATTGCCGCTTTGTGAGCACGCTTCGCACCGGAGATCCGCCTTTCTTCAAGGCCGCATTGGTTGTAACACATGCCTCGACTTGCAGACAGACATGCATTGTAGAGTATGGACTTCTGATGCTTTTTTTTTTGTAAACACTGACAACCTCATGCTTTACTTCTGCCCACACTTTTTCCGAATATTATCGTATATATCCTCGTAGAATTCATCCATCATCAAGTGTGGCCTTCAGTTGCACACAGACTAGCAGACGTCATACGGTTCCGGTGCTGGCATTTTTTTTTTTTTTCCGCTTGTTAAAAGCGACAGTATAGTGTGGGGTGACCACCTAGCGGTGGAGTAACTGCTTCTGCTGTTATGGGTCTTCTGTTGGCTTCTTGCTGCAAATGGAGGGGTTCGTCAGCTGTACCTGAGGGGTACAGTCAGTGGGCGGGTACTTCTTCAAATTTTGTTTTCTTTTTTCTGAAGCCTGAGCATCTTTTTTTTTTCTTTCTTTCTTTTTTTTTTGTTTGTTTTTTTGTTTGTTTTGTTTGTTTGTTTGTTTGTTTGTTTGTTTGTTTGTTTGTTTGTTTTTAACTTTTTTGAGTTTTTTTTGAAAACCATGTCTCGCCCCTGCAAGGGGTGATAAGAGCACCCCCTTCTACCTGAGGGGTACAGTCACTGGGCGGGTACTCTTCACATTTTTGTTTCTTTTTTCTTTCTTTCTTTCTTTTTTTTTTTTTCTTTTTTTTTCTTTTTTTTAACCCCTGGGGTCTGGTCCCACCTACGGTTGTTGAGTTCAGAAAACTCAACGCTGTGACGCCATTTCGACATTAAAATATTCGAAACAAGAAATGAAAAAACTGAAAAAAATGCTAGAAACAGCTTTTCTCCTTATTTTTTATAACGTAGCTCCGAGAAATGAAACATGTCTGGAACAGTCGGAGTGAACGTCTCC